ATACCTATTCTATATATACCTATTCTAAGAAATGTATTTATTGAGTCAGAGAGAACATTGTGAGCCTTTTAATGCCCATTGCCAAATTGGTCTCCAGAACTGTACAAGTTTACCTTGCTATGACCAAGTTACAAAGGGATGTTTTTTACTTAATTCTCCTAAGCATTGGATAATAATATAACCTTGTGTCTTTCCTCACTTGAGAGGTAAATAAAATATTGTTCTGTGTTTCAACTTGCATGACTTTTATTACCAATAACATTTAAAAAAAAATTTTTTTAAAGAGATTTTTGCCTTAGGGAACCAGCAGTTAGCGTAATGGCTATGTCACTGGACTCCCACGTAGTCGACCGCGGTTCGTGTCCCGGACCCGGTGGCTTAAAACTCACGCCGGGCGCGTGTGCGTGCGTGCCCAAGATCCCGAGAGGAGAATGGAGGAGAAGGGATTGCGGCGTGACCATCCCCCCTGGGGGGTGATTTCTCGCTTTCTGTCTCTATGTCTCTCTCTGTCTGTCTGGCGAGCGCACGCGCCCTACAGTGAAAATCTCTCCAAAAAAAATTTTTAAAAAATTAAATTAAAAATAAAAATTAAAAAAAATAAAAAATAAAAAAAAATTTTTTTTTATTAGAAAAGTAGTATATGTTAGGAACCAGCAGTTAGTGTAATGGCTATGTCGCTGGATTCCCACGTAGTTGACCGCAGTTCGCGTCCCAGACCCGGTGACTTAGAACTCACGCCAGGCACGTGTGCATGCGTGCCCAAGATCCCAAGAGGAGAATAGAGAAGGGATTGCGGCGTGACCATCCCCCCTGGGGGGTGATTTCTCGCTTTCTGTCTCTGTCTGTCTGTCTCTGTCTGTCTGGCGAGCGCACGCGCTCTATAGTGAAAACCTCTCAAAAAAAAAAAAAAGAAAGAAAAGTAGTATATGTTGAGCTAACTCCATGGTCTGGTGGTTAAGGCAGCTAGATCCCACATGGTTGACTGTTAAGTTCTGTACCGGGCAGCTTGAAAAACACACCAGATGTGCATGCATGCCCAAAATTCCTGAAAGAAGAGAGAGATGAAGGATAAGGGATTGTAGTGTGACCATTCCCCATGAAGAGTGCTTTCTCCTCTCCCTCTCTCTATGGCTCTCTTGCCCTTTAGCAAAAGAAGGAAAAATGCTGCATATTTATTGTAGAGAGTTCAGAAAATAGAGAAAAACTCAAAGGGTGCAATAATTTTTTATAATTTCATCATCCATTAGTAACCACTTTTTGGTATTGTTTTTCCTATACAAAATCAATCTTAATATATACAAAATTGGAATTATACCCTCTATATGTATTTTATCATATTTTCATGTAATAATCTATCATGAGTGTCTACCAGCTATTTACCTTTGTGTTCCTAGTACCACGTGTACACAGTTATTCAGCTGCAAAGCAGGTGCAGTGTTTAACCCCTAAATAAGTAGTCAGTGGTGGTGATGCTGTTAATAATACTAGGCTGTCAGAAATGTCGTGACGCATTTTTGCACAGAAAAATACATCATGACCTTTCCTACAACCCAATAATATTAATGTTAATGGTTAACATTAATTGGGGTCTATCACAACTTTAAAAATATTAGGAAATTCTTGAGATTATAACAGAGAATTCAGGAAAACCCCATGAGTAAGTACACTGTTTTTTCTCCATTTTGCAGGCAAAGAACTGAGACATAAAGTGGCTTAAAATTTTCCCACTAGCCCCTTCATAGGAAGTGGTAGGATATGTTGTTAGGCCTCTTGATTGCAAAGCTTGTGCTTTTTTTCCTCCCAGAGTATGTTAAATTGGCTTCAAATTCAAGATCCTTCAAGCCTCCCAAGTAGCTGAAATTATAGACACAGACCACTGCACCTGGCTTAAAAGCTTTTCCTCTTTATCAAACCCTTACACTAAATGGTGTGGTCTTCTGGGTAACCTCGGGGTTGTCACTGAATGGCTTTGTAATGCAGCTAGATCTGTGCTGCCTCTGTACTATTAGAGCAGCTCAAAGACTGACCAGATCATGGCTTAGCCTAGCCCTGTTAAGTGCACATTACCTTCCATTTCATACTAACCTTTTCTTCCAAGTAGGGTAATAAGTGCCTATGGTTTCAGGAGTAATTCCTAAAATAATGTTATTTGTCTGTTATTGTTATTATTAATTTGACCAGAGAGACAGGAAAAGTGAGAAAGCAAGCTGCCAGGTCCAGGATTCAAACCACAGTCAGCCATGTGTAGGTCCAGCACCTCAACCACCACACTACCTGTCGGCCTCTAGATTTTTCTTAAGATTTTTATTTTGCTACTGGGTCACGCTCCAAGGGAAAGGGGAAAATTAGTGTCTTTTTTTTTTTTTGGAGAGATTTTCACTGTAGGGCGTGTGCGCTCGCCAGACAGAGAGAGACATTAGAGACAGAAAGCGAGAAATCACCCCCCAGGGGGGATGGTCACGCTGCAATCCCTTCTCCTCCATTTTCCTCTCGGGATCTTGGGCACGCACGCACATGCGCCCGGCATGAGTTTTAAGCCACCGGGTCCGGGACACGAACCGCGGTCAATTAGTGTCTTTTTAGTGGTAAAAACCTGTCAGTCATATATGACTCCAAAGTCAGTAGATTATGTCTGTGTTGATACATTTTTTTGCAACCTGTCTTTTTTGACTTATGATTGCTATCTGATTTGCATTTTGAAATATTGTATGTTGAAAGTAATATCTGAAGTCTGATTGCATTGTTGCTTTTAGGGGGGGTCAAGGCTAATTCTAATAGATCGTTCTCAGTTTAAGAACCAAAATCTTTTGATGTTTTACAGGATAATCTGATGAGAAAAGTGGTCTCAAATAGGTTTAGCTTATTTTTATGAGGAAGTGGTTTTCGAGTACTTGATCAGAGACTTAAAAAGATCTCTTTTGGAAAAAAGGGAATGTCACAAAGATACATAGTGATTGAAATCTATTACGAATAGTGTTCTTCAGAACACTAAATTAAGAAATGACAGTTCTTTATGAAAAAGGGAAAATCAAGAGGCCCAAGAAATGTAAAAGTAAAACTGGTTATAGAGCTTAACAAGAATAATCTTCTATATAGACAAAGTAAATTATTTGGAGCTTAGAAAAATGTGGGACTATAATAATAGATGAAAGATTAGAAAGATGATAAGTGAAAAATTAGGAAAATAGAACATGAAAGGAACTAGCCTGTCAACCTAAATCCTCTTTAAAATGCTCTTTGATAGGAAGAACTCTGTAAATAGACCGCCCCCATAGAATGCTTATAAGTTCTTATTATTAAGCACTTTATTAGCACTTTTGTGGTTGCATTGTTGAAGATCCCTTGATAGTGCGGTGCCTTCGTAGAATATACTGCTATTGAGTGGTTATTGAAAGTGATCTGAAGTTACTTAAGCTTTGTTTACTCAATCAATGTAATGATAACGTAATTTCTTGATTTGTAGTATTTTTTTGAAATTAGTGATTTGCCTATGTTCTAATAACAAGCATGTTAAAAATACCGTTTGTTACTCTTAGAAGGAACTTGGGTTTCTTTAAAGCTTGTCAGTGAAGTATGAGTATTTGGCTATGGAAGCTGAATGAATACACGCGCATACGTGCCTAATGATGAGTATAGTAAACTTTGGCCCAATTTTAAGGTAGAGAAGCATTTTCCTTCTTTATAGAACCTGAAGTAGCATATCCTCATACACTTGTGCTCTTTCTGTCTTGTTCAGGGAAACAGTGCTTCTTAGTCCTACGTCAGCAGCAGTTTAATGTCCAGGCTCTTGTGGCGGTGGGAGACCATGCAAGCAAGCAGATGGTTAAATTTGCTGCCAAGTAAGTAAGCAATTATATCCTGTTGTCAGAATAAACAATGGTGGGAACCAAGACTCCCAGGGGTTTGGACCATTTTCATACATTAACATCAATGCTTCGTTTGTTTAAAAATGTAGTTATTTAAATTGTCAGTTCAGTGTTGCTGAATACATTAAACTTACAAAAGAGAAAATATGGAGCACAGGCTTGAAATTCATTTGAAACTGCTGAAGCAGCACTCTCTACAGACAAGTCACATTTACTTTCAAGTAGAGTAACAAAAAGCCTGGCAGCCTCAACATAGCAGAGCAACTTTATTTTGTTCTGTTTGTTGAGCTTCGTTTCCTCTCCCTCCCCTAGTTTTAGATTTGCATATTGAGCAACAGGTTTTCTAGCTGAATTTAATAAAAGTATATTTTTAAAAATACATATAGTTTTGCAAATGATTCCTTCAGAAAGGAAGTAACACAAATTTTATGTGTTTAAATTTAGCTTTGACATCAAAAGAGTTTAGAAAAAAAGTAAAACTTGCTTTTTTTCCTCAAAAATCTTCCTGTCTGGCTCAGAGTTCCTGTGGAAGATCATTGTTTTGTTCGGCTTGCAAAAGGCAGGCTTTGGAAGTAGAAGTGTGATTGTATGTGTTGTGCTGTAAGGTGACAGAGTTCGATTTACTTGGTAGTTGGTGATGGGGCTAGTTTTGTTTGCATGTTTTTCTCAATTTGAATTACAATTTTGTTTCTATCATGAAAATCAAAGTAAGCATGAGAAAATCAATGGCCTTTACATTTTTAGGAAAAGAGTATTTCATAGGCCTGCTTTTTAAAAGAAAGAATGCAGTATAGACTAAATGTCTTGTTTTTAGTGGTGTTTTTTTGTTTTGTTTTGTTTTTTTGTCTCTGTTCCTTAGATATGTGCTTTCAAAAATGGGTTAAGATAGAATTATGAATTTTAGAATTTAGAAAGAAACTAAAATAGTAATCTAATCTAATATCCTAATTTATGTTTGAGCCCATGTAACCCTCCCAACATAGTATATGACATGTAGTGGGTGCCTGCCCAGCAACTGTTCTTTATTTATATCAGATTGTTTTATTATGCCTTAATAATACTTGCACTCTGATTGAAAACTATCGTGCCACAAGTTACATCGATTCATTGATGAATTCAGTAGTATTGGTCTATTAATACAGCAGCCCACCCCTCCATGTCTTCTAGTCCAGCTGCCTAGAGACTGCCTCTTTCTCCTACCTGTGTCTTCTGGTAATTAAGTTTGCTGGCTTTCATTTCATAGTAAGGGTGTGTGCTTGTGGAGTGCATTTTCATCTACTTTTTGAGGTCTATGTTATATACCATGAAGTGGAACATAAATGAGCTTGTTCCCTGGAAATAAACTTCATGTACACAGAGAGCCTTTTATAAAAAGAAAAAAAGATGGTATTGGAAACCATAGGCATATATGTTTTTTTTTTTTAGAGGTTTTTGCTATAGGGCGCGTGTGCTCACCAGACAGACAGAGAGAGACAGAGAGACAGAAAGCGAGAAGTCATCCTGCAGGGGGGATGGCCACACCGCAATTTCTTCTCCTCCATTCTCCTCTTGGGATCTTGGACACGCATGCACACGCGCCCGGCATGAGCTTAAGCCACCGGGTCCGGGACGCAAACCACTGTCGACTACATAGGAGTCCAGCGACATAGCCATTATGCTAACTGCTGGTCCCGATAGGCATATATGTTAAAGTATAGTGAATAAACTGGACAAAGTCAATTTGAAATCAATAATCTTTATAATTTTATCTCAAATATTAATTTGGTTCTCAAAACTGGTATGTGGAGTTGATAGTTTGATGTATTTTTCCATTAATCTACATTATAACCTCAATATTACATTTCTAATGAAAAGATTGTCATCTAGAAATCTTTTGAAAATCCCACTTACCTTCACTATTCACTGAGAGGCATTCTGCTAACAGCTGGACAATCTGTATGCTGTCTTTACGAGTAAACATATTAAAGTAGCCCATAAATATGTTATTTTCATTATTTTGGATCTTCTTAGAAACTCCTGGCACTTGAGTATGTGACAGAAGTTGAACATAAGAGATATCATCCATGGGGGCAGCAGGTGATGTGGTGTTTGAGACACTGAACTTCCACATGATTGACTATAGTTCAAGTCCCAGATCTGGCGGCTTGCTTCCTCACCTTCCCACTCCCTCCATTCTTCTCTTGGGATTTTGGGCATGCACAAATATGCACCAAGTGTGAATTTCAAGCTGCCAGGTTTGAGACTCGAACCATGGTCAGCCATGTGGGAATCCAGCGCGTTAACCACGATACCACCTGCCAGCCCTCAAATAACTAACTCTTAAAAAAAAAAAAGAGAGAGAGAGATCCTCCAAAGCTTACTATCTTGGAAGAGCTACTTGGAGATGGTCTTAGTCAATAAAACTTAGTTCACTGATGCCCTCATAATATATCAGTTAAAGGCTTTCATTAAACTGGAATGATATAATGATGATCTTTCTTTTAGACAAGGGGAAAAATGTAGATAATTTAGCCTTGCTTTCTTATTTCCTATAGTGGAACTCAGTCCAGATGTAATTCAGGCATAACAACTTGAAACTTGAAATTTTTTTTGAGAGGTTTTTGCTATTGGTCATGTGTGCTAGCCAGAAAGACAGAGAGAGACAAAGAGACAGAAAGTTAGAAATAACCCCTCCGGGGGGTGGCCAAGCCACAATCCTTTCTCCTCTATTCTCCTCTCAGAATCTTGGGCACACACTCACATACTCCCAGCATGAGTTTAAGCCACTGGGTCCTGGACTCAAACCGTGGTCAACTACATGGGAGTCCAGTGACATAGCCATTATACCAACTGCTGGTCCTGTAACTTGAATTTTTTTAAACAAAGAACATGTAGTTGTTTTTGGTCCTTTAAAAATTAGACTTTATGTAATTAGCAGTGTGTGGGAAAAGGTTGAGCTGTTGCAAAGTATAAAACCTTTGGTTATATACAAGTGAGTGGAGCCAATTTTATACAATAGGTTTGACATGTGGTACTTAGATTATACGTATTTGACTTTTGGCACTGATGTGTTAAGAAATCAAGTCTGAGTAATTAAGAGTAGGTATGTTAATAGCTTTTGCTACCTTGTGAAAAAAAATTCTCATGGCTAAGACTGGTGAAAAGGATTGGGTTTTGGAGTTCTTTTGGTTGGTTAGTAAGATAGTTTTATTTCTTTTTTTTAAAAGAACTATTCATTTAATTTCATTTGTTATTATAATTAGTATTATTATTTTAATTTGACCAGAGAGAGAGAAAAAGGGAAAGCAAGAAAGCAAGTTGCTAGGTCTGGGACTCGAACCGTGGTCAGCCATGTGGGAATCCAGCATTTTTAACCACCATGCCACCTGCTGGTCCCATGTGAGATAATTTTCTTAGAAACCTGATTTCATATGCCAGAAAGGTCAGTTTGTCTTTTTTTATATGATATTTGACTATTTACTTCTAAGATAGTTCAGAAATCCTGATTCTTTGTAGTAGTAGAAGTCCTTTCTGACAGAAGATCAACAGTGTGATCTTCTATTCAAAGTACCAATTTTTAAAGACGAAATTATAAAACAAAAATATTTTACTTTGAAAATTGTTACTGCTCTATTTGTGAATAATAATAAAGTAAATGAAGTTGTAATATAAATTATAAAGAACTTTTAGAACTTATTTAAGAAAAGTAGGTATGGGGCCAGCAGGTACCATGGTAGTTAAGGTTCTGGACTCCTGACTGACCATAGTTCAAGTCCCAGACCAGGCAGTTTGCTTTCTCACTTTCTCTCTCTGTCTTTCTCTGGTGAGTGCACATGCCCTATGGTAAAATTTAAAAATAATAATAATAATAATTAATTCATTTTTTGAAAAAGAAAAGCATGTATGGCTTTTATTTTTTATTTAAACTTTAAAATCCTTTTTCTAAAAATTACTTTTATTGGCTGGGTATCACACAAACTGCTTTATTGGAAATGGATATGATCTCTGTTGTATAAACAATGATAATGCATCTTTTATACATTTATCTTTGCAGTCACTTGTGTTGGAAATAACTGCTCACTGAGCAAGCATTCTATGAAACAAGAATTTTAAGGTGTGAGGTTATTGCTGAATCAAAGATTATGATTAAAAAAATCTCTCCTATTTGCTATTAACAGATGAAAAGTAAGAATTGCTAATAACTTGTGGTCTAGCCATCCTTATTTTCTATTATTCTTATATACCATACTGCAAAAACCTTAATTTAAGCTCACATGGACTTTTTGTGTTTTTAAGCATGAAGCCTAACGCAATTTTCAGATATGTCACCAGAATGAAAGTAATACTTCAATTTTTTACTAAAGCTTTTAAAATATTGAGAGTGAATTCTTCCATTCGTCTCAAAATGAAGTTAAGATACACGGTTTCAAAATTTTTTGTCTGTCTTTAGTGTTTCTTTTATTGATAGAGTACACATGTGCTTGCCAGAGAGTGGAGGAGAAAAAGCAACCCCAGTGGGGCGTGGTCATGCCACAGTGTTTTTTCCTCCGTTTTTATATCCCAGAAGAATTTGGGGCGCACCTGTCTGATGTGTTTTTCAGGCTGTCAGGACCAGCGCTAAACCTAGGTCAGCCACGCGGAGTCTGACTCCCGTAGCACAGGACGTAATCTGCACCACAGAGCCCATACTTTAGTGTTGTTATTTATTAATATAATTTCTGCCACCTGTAATTCAGGTGTGAACAATATGGTCTGATTATTTATTAAACTTGTTATCTATTGAAGGTTACATGCTCTTTCTGCTCCCTCAAGTATAAACTTGCAATAAGTTTCTTTTTTAATCTAAGTTTTATCTAAAGTCTTTAATATCTGTTGTTTCCAGTCATGTCCAGTGTTAATTTTGCCTGCTGGTTCCTTCTCTACAGTGTTAGTTCCCATCACTTCCTATTCTATACTCCAGATTGGTAGACCCTCCTTGCCTGCAGCAACCTCTC